AAACATAGAACTATAAAAAGAATTCATTGTAATTCATTGAAACCTTGTAAAATATTTCTCCGTCATCTTTGATAGTCTGAGTTTTAACAATAAAGAAAAAAAACTTTAAAAGAAACCATTTTATACTTTCTATTCAATATTCTTTACTCTTCATATTAATAAAATAAATGTAGTCTGAAAATAGAATAATAATAATATTGTTGTTTGAATTCTTATAGATATGGTTCGTCGTCATGGTCTACCACCGAGTGATCTCGGTAGTGACGTTTGGTCTGATTTAACAAGTGAATTTAGTGATACAAAATTACGTAAACATCCAAATATTCGAACATCAACACCAAATATAACTGCACGTAGTTCTAGTATGAGTTCGAAAGAAATTGGACAAATACGAAGACAATTAACTGGTTAGTTTATATTTATCTCATAAACTAATATTTTCATATGTATACATATGTTTAGATCTACAAATTATGTATAATGATCTTCTTAAACTACTTGATATGGATGCTGAATCTGTTCGAGGTAGTGTTAAATCAACTGTTTCTTCTCATATTGATCATAATAGTCGACGACATCGTTTTCGAAAAATTATGCCTGCTTTATCTATACGTCATTCCAATGTTGATTTAGGGTAATCTATATTCAAAAGAGAAAAAGAGAATATATATATACAATATTTATTTATAGAGAAGTCAATCAACGTTTTGCACGACTTGAAGCATCAGTAGTAACATTAGCTGAATCAATTGCTAAATTATCTGCACAAATTCAAGCACAACGTACTGTTAAAGATGATGTTTTTCGTTTACGTCAAGAGGTAGGTGATTTACGTCAACAATTATATCAACAATATTCACGACAACAATCTGCAATACCACAACCTCCTCCTATAGCATCATCTGTATCAGCGACATACCAACAACCGTCACGTTTAATATCTGCCAATGTTCAACGTTTAGCTACTATAAATAGTACAAATCCATCAAATTTTTCCACATCTTATCTACCATCAACATCAACTATGCAACGTTCAAATTCAATTATTGATCCAAGACAAGCACGAAAAATTGAACAGTAAAAAAACATAGATGAATGAATTGTTTTGAATATACTCTTTCATTTTTGTCTACTAGATTTTTTGGTACGGAAACAATGCTTCGTTATTTTTTAAGTTTATTAAATTATGAAGAATATGCTCCACGACTTGAACGTGAAAAAATTGGTATCTATGAATTACCATATGTAAGTGAAAGAAAATTACAAAGTCTTGGTATACCATATGGACCATGTGCTCGTATTATTTATGAAGCACAACAATATTTTATTTCATTATTAACATTAAAATCGGGTGGAATTGATGTATAGAAACAAAACGATAGTCATTTTGTATTGTGAAAATAAGTTTGTTTGTTTGTTTGTTTGTTTGTTTGTTTTGTTTTTCTTTTGGTTTATAGTTGTTCAAGTAAATAATAAATTTTTTCAATCCATTTTTCGATAAAATCTTTTTCAATTTTATTTTTATTGTATGTAATAGTAAAACAAAGATGATTATTTATTGTACTTATACCAATAAGTATTAAACTTGTCCAACGTTGTTCAATAAGTGATACACCATAATAATGTTCTTGAATTTGATTATCAGATGTATTCGATAATAAACCAAGATTACTAAAGGCAAAATCAACATCATTAAATGAAAAATCTTCATTATTATTAATCATTTTTAATAAATCTGTATCATTTTTACAATTAATTATATATTCTTTTTCATTTATTCGATGATGAAGATCATTATGTTGTTGAATAGCATTTAACCATAAAGATTTTATAGATTGTTTATCAAGTTTAATCAAACAATCAAATACAGTAGCAAACATACCAGTTTGTTGAAAATCAAGTTTAAGTTGTGGTCGTATATTAACCATCATATGAACTTTTAAAGTTTTTTCTTCATCATAATTACATGCGAGATAATAAGCCGTCGTTGTAATCATAGTTAGAATACTATTTAAACGTATTTGATGTATATGACATTGATTTGTTAAATGTGAAAGTATTTGATTTGAAAGATAAAAATGACGAACATGTGTTCGAGATATCAGTGGATTTGGTCGAATAGGTCTTGCTTTCATATCAAGATCAGATATTGTTTCAAAAGAATATCGATTAAATAAATATTTTTCCATAGGTTCAAGAAAAATTTTATTTAGAATATCACCATCGACAAATGATGGCGAACATAATGAAAGATATTGACGACCAATACTAAATAAATTTTTTGCATCAACAAGTAAATGATAAAATGAAATTATAAGAATATTTCCATTGATAATGATCCATCGTGTTAAATTTTTATTATCAAATGGAGTATTAAGTTCATTTTCAAATGCTTCATCCCAATTGATATCCTTTTGAGAAAAAATATTATTCTTATGGAAAATATGTAAGTTTATATATTTACCTGTTCATATTTGAAATTTAACATAAGATCTTGTTCAGCATGTTGTTCATTTTTTGATTTATATACGAGTGTTGTTTCATCATCCGATGGACAAATTTCATAGCCAAGAACTGGATAATAATCATGATATAATTTTATTAAAGATGATCGAGCTTGTGATTCATTTATTATGTTTGTATTTTTCGTAATTATTACTTGAACTAATGTTTGATTTCCATAATCTGCTTGTTCTCGACAATAGATCCGTTCAGCTGCACCTAATTCTCGAACGAAACCTTCAATAATAATTCTAGAAAATATGATCGAATTATATTCATCAGACACTTACTCATATTGATAAGTTTGATTTCACACAAAAAAAATCAAATAATATTTATTAGCTATTTCGAATAGTTTGTTCTTTGTTCTGATCGTTAGTCGACTGCGTCTAGTCTTCGTTGAGCTGTGTTTTGTTATCGGCGATCGTCGTCATTTTTATATCGGAAATGTGCTATCGATTTTTCTTTCTTTCTAGCTTTTTGACATTAGTCGGAACACATTAGATTCTGATTTTCACAGCAAATTGTAGTCGAAGAAAGAAAATAGAAAAGATTGTTGACAGCTATGATTTTCGCCCAGTTCTGCTTCTTAATAAAACAAAGATCTTGGTTTTTTTCTTCTTTCCTTTCTTTAGTACTTTATTGAAGAATAAGTCGGATTTCCTACTTCGTTATTAATTCTAGCTGAAATTAATTGACATGCATATACTACGTATTATTAATAATGTAAGATCTTATAGTACGAATAAAGATTCATATATATTAAATATATTAGCTAATGGCAATCTATAAGCGTCATTAACTATTGATTTCTATTCATACTTATAAAGTATTTTTAGATACTCGTAACGATATTGCATTTTCCAAACTTAGATTTGTTGACAGAGTCCAGCAATGATTCATATATTCACAAATATAAAATATATTGTAATTTGTAATTTCATTCTGGAATCAGTAGAGAATATAATCATGTCCTACGTGGGCTTAAAACTTTGATATGTCCGCCTATGTAGTTTAAGAGTGTCTTATAAACGAGTGACTTATATATTTTCGACGGACTTCTTAATCTATCTAAGATGATATAAGATTCGTTTGATGTGACTGACTTTGAAATATTGGCCTAGTTTCGCTATTCGAAGTCGAACAAACAAATAAGTTATTTTATACAATACGAATTGCAGCTGTGACATTTCAAGGCTATTTGGAGACCTCGTAGTTTTATATAAATAAAACTCTATGACATATAATTAACTTGCATTATTGAAATTCAAAAGATCTTTTTGTCAATATTAAAAAAGAATGTATATATATTACGTATTATAAAAATTTTCTTATCAATTAAAAAATCAAGATGACCTTTTTAAATTATAGGAAGTTTCTAAGTATATTTATTCAGTGTGTATTACATGAAAAGAAAAAAAAGAAATTAAATTAATGATAAGTTTATACAATTATTTCATATAAAATATAAATTTTGTAACCCAAATCTCATATTATATTACAGAATTACGAAAATTTTAAAATTTTTATAGCGAGACAGAGATTGAATCAGTATAGACGAAAAGAAACATGTTGTATTAATATTATGATCTGTGTAATAGCGACCTCTTCAAACTTGTGTCACCTATAGGGTTCTCATTCATTCATTGATTTTTATTTACTCGAAGAAGATGATTACATGATGCAATCCAAACCGAACGAAGAACATACTGTTACTTTTTATAACTTTATGATAAGCAAAAATTTTAAAAAAATACGTTGGAATTTTTTGAAATTAAATAATGATAAAAGTGACCAATTATATTATGTTTTCAATATATAATTTATGTTCTTTTGAAATGATTGTTATCGACCTTATCAATACAATAATATGACAATAAGAATGATCGATTTATTTATTTAAAAGAATTTTGAAGTTTTAAGACGCACATGTATAAATAACACATTAAAATTGTTTTTCTCTTTTTTTAGATTGATTTATTAAATAGTCATTATCAGAGAATGTCATCTAATACAGCGAACCTATTATTAATGAATAAGGTAAAACGAATTTCGTACTCAAAAGATTAATGACAGTTTCTCGACAAAAGTTGAAAAAAAACAACGACTTTTATGATGACATCATAATCCTAGCTACCAATAAGTCAGACAATGACATTGATAACTAAAAGTACATGAAAAAACTGTTAAAGTACAAATTGAATTGATGAAAATAAAACGAAATTTGATCGCCTGTATGATATCATTTTGCGTATCCAGATATATTCATATTAATGTTTCTATAATTACCTCAATCCATCTAGCACGTTCTTTTTTCACACGCTTGATTAAACCAGGATTAAATAAAACCGTGGTCCTTCTTGTTGTATCCTAACAAGGACAGACAGCGAAAAGTACATTATAAAGCAAAAAAAAAGCATATAAAGGAAAGAAAATAAAGAAAAGGCTCACGTTTAAAAATAAATAGCAACCTTATTCATTCTTCTATAAGGTATAAAATGTTTCAATCGAAAAACCAAAGTTTTAATAATTTGTCCATGAACGAGGTTTTTGTTAACTTTCTTCTTGAAATGATTAAAATACAATGTTGTCCTTTTTTATTGTAGCCTCTTCAAAGACGTACGCCAAGTCAAACAGATATTGCTGCATTTAAAGATTTAACAAAAATCGATGCACTTACAAGATTACAAAATTCATTAAATAAACTTGTCTTAACTACTCCATCTCAATCACAAAAAGTTAGTTACAAAAAAAACAAAACATTTTCTTATTTATCTTCGTTGTTTTCATTTGATAGGATGTTCGAACAGAATTCGATGGATTTGAAAAATTATTTAGTCGATATCTACTTGATAGTGTTGATCAATCATCCATTGATTGGCAAGAAATTCGACAACCACCAGAAGGAACTGTAAATTTAATTGGAAAAATAATCATTATCTATAATTATTTGATATATTCTTTTTCAAGGTCATTCCATATAAAAAATTAACTGCAATAGATGAGCATGATACAAAAGATTTCTTAAATAAATTAATTGTTGTGAAACTTAACGGTGGTCTTGGTACAACAATGGGTTGTCAAGGACCGAAAAGTGTTATTTCTGTACGTAATGATTTAACATTTCTCGATTTAACAGTTCAACAACTGGAGGTAAAATTGACTTTTTTTTACATATTAAAAAAGAACTTTTATTTTTCAGCAACTTAATCGTCAATATGGTTGTGAAGTACCACTTATTCTAATGAATTCATTTAATACGCATGATGAAACAGAAAAAGTTCTTCAAAAATATAGTCATGTTTCCGTTAAAATCTATAATTTTAATCAATCAAAGTAAGATTTTTAAAAATATAATTAAATTAAATATCTAATCTATTATTTAGATATCCACGTGTTGATCGAGAAACATTATTACCTGTTGCAACTAATGTGAATACTTCAGACAATGAATGTTGGTATCCGCCTGGTCATGGAGATGTTTATCAAGCATTTTATAATTCTGGTTTACTCGATGAATTTATTGAACAAGGAAAAGAATATATGTTTTTAAGTAATATTGATAATCTTGGAGCATCAGTAGATTTAAGTATGATTCTTTTTATTCGATTGAATTTATTTATTAAAAAACAAATATATGTACATTAAATAGATATTCTTAATCATTTATTGACTGATGAAGTAAAACATGAATTTGTTATGGAAGTTACAGATAAAACACGTGCCGATGTTAAAGTAAAATTTTTTTTCTGATTAATTGTTTATTTATTTTTTGAATAGGGTGGTACTTTAATTGAATATCAAAATAAATTACGTCTACTTGAAATAGCTCAAGTACCAAAAGAAAATGTCGATGAATTTAAAAGTGTTTCTAAATTTCGGTAAAATCAAAAATATTTCTTAATAAAAATTCTATTCATTTTTACTATATTAGAATTTTCAATACAAATAATTTATGGATAAATCTTCAAGCTATTAAACGTGTTATCGAAGATAATACCTTACATATGGAAATTATTGTTAATCATAAAGTAATTCATTATTTACAGAAATTAAAAAGAAAACTGAACAATACATTTTTTGTATTTTTAGTCGCTAGATAAAGGCATCAATGTTATTCAATTGGAAACAGCTAGTGGTGCAGCAATTAAAAGTTTTGAAGGAGCGCAAGGTAATTACAACTTATAAATTATAGATAGAAAATTAATCTGAGAAATATCTATAAAAAAAAGCAGTTGTCTTCGATATCGATTAAAGATCGACCAATTTGTCTCGTGCATGGTGTACCATCAAATAATACTAAATTCTAAGCAAAAAATTCAATACTGGTTTGTGAAGCTTTCAAGTACTAATCAAAGAATAATAATGATCCGATGATGTTCATTAAATCTTTTTGTTATAGTGTGATTTTCTTTTCTCTTTCTACGATTATGATATACATCTATGTATCTTCTTCATTTCTATTTTCCTGTCGCTCTCTTCTCTTTATAAATCTCTTTGAAATTTTCTCACTCGCTCACCATATATACTGAACATTTTTATTTAGGTATCAATGTTCCACGTAGTCGTTTTTTGCCAGTTAAAACAACATCTGATCTATTACTTGTTATGTCTAATTTATTTACAGTACATCGTGGAATTTTAAAAATGAATCCACAACGTTCATTTCCTTCTGTACCACTTGTTAAACTTGCAATAAGTTTTAATAAAGTACAAAATTTATTTTTATTTTCTTCATTATTTTTCTTCTTTTTTTTGTTATTAAGGTAAAAGATTTTCTATCACGTTTTCAAAGTATACCTGATTGTCTTGAACTTGATAGTCTTACAGTATCTGGTGATGTTACATTTGGCAAAGGTGTTTCACTACGTGTATGTTAAAAGAAATATAGAAAGATTTATCTCAATAGAATTTCTTTTCTTTTCTAGGGTACAGTTATTATTATTGCTAATCATGGTGATCGAATTGATATACCAACAGGTGCAATACTTGAAAATAAAATTATTTCTGGAAATTTACGTATTCTTGAACATTAATTTATCTGTTCAATCTGGGATCGCTTTCTATGTTTTTTTTTGCTACCATATAATCTTGCTCTTATGTTACTTCGGTGTTCGCGACAATATTTTTTTGTGATATTATTTTTTTTTGTTCTATTATAATTAAAATAGTGAAGTAATTGATTGTTTTTTTCCACATAATAATTTACTATTCCTCTTAATTCTTATTATGTTGTCATTTCTAATAAATATCTAATTCGCAGTGTGAAACGCTTGCAAAAATAAAATAATATTCGTTATTTTTTATGTTCGTTGTAGAGTAAAATAAATTATAGAAAAATAAGGAAGAAAAGAGGATATGGCTCCATTTCCACTTATCAAATTGGCTATTGTCTTTTTCAAACAAGTCAGCAAACCACTTGCTGCTCAGATTAAAGCACGCGCAAAAAATAGTGAATTTTTCAAGAAATATGTGAGTGCTTAGATAGATTTTTATATAACAATAGATTCTATATACTAATAAATACATAATCTATACATAGAGTTTGTTTACTAATAGGTCTGTATGCCTCCTGCACAGTTTTATCATTGGTATGATGTTAATCTTCGAATGAGAATGTTAGGTATTGAAACAAAAAAAGTAGCTAAAATGAATGAAGAAGCAGCTGTTGCACTTGGTGCAGATATATTGGGTGAAGGTATGTATAAATTATAGGAAAGAGTTGATTTTATTTTTTTCTGATATTAATCTTATTGTTTATTTTATTAGGTGTAATATTAGGTGTTGCTATTGCTGGTTTGGCTCTTGAATATGCTAGACAATCGAAAAATAATGCTATCAAAGAAACACGTCAACAAGAACGATTAGTTGGTATGGAGCAACAAATAGCTGAACTTGAACTTACATTAGCTAATCAATCAGCTCAAATGTTACAACTTGAACGTCATATACAGCATAAAGTATCACCACCATCAAAACCTACAAAATCATCGTCTTCAACATCACTTCCAGTATCAACTACCAACAAAGATTCAAAAGGACAAGCATTTTCAATTCTTGATACATCATTAGTTCAATCACCATTAATGCAATTACATAGAACGGACTATTTGTTATTGACGATGACACATGTTATTCAACAAACCAATGATTTTATTATGTCACCAGTAAAACAATGGTCATCATCATTGAGAAAAACAAAAAATTAACATTTGATCTTTCATTTATTTTAATTTCGATACTTCTCTTTCCCATATTACCTTACGTTTTGATCAATATAATGATTGATTCCCTTTCTGTATGTTTTATGTCATTTAACTTCAATCATATTACATACTCAAACAATAACATCTAATATCATCGATAAGAAAATAGTTGAGTTTCTATGAGGAAAAGATGAATCAAATGTCTCTATTTCATTACAAAATATACACATGAGTTTCTTTTTTTCTTCTATTGAGTGTTAAAATATTTAGAGATGTCATAGGTGAATCACTCTAGGCAATATACACCCTAAATGATAGCAAAAAATGATTATATGACCTTTTTTCTCTCTCTATGTACTAGTTCATAATTTAGTAATAACATATATAAAGTCATTTCATGTTTTATTTTGTAGATTATAATATGCCTCTTGTAAATACAGATAATGATGATGATGATACTTATTCATTGTCTTCAATAACAAATTCTGATGAAGATTTTGAAGAAGCTCATTCTTATGATCATCGTTTATGTAGTCGATATGCATCATGTAATAAAAAGAAACATGAACATTCATCAGATGATTCAACTAAATTAACAAAGCATTCAAAGAATTCAAAATTCGTTGTAGGTTCTATACGACCTATTGCCAATCAACCAGGACGTCGACAAAAATACGATGGATGTAAATGGCGTCGTATATGTGATAATTTCAATTGTTCAGTTTATTTAAGTGGTGTTCGTTATATTGAAAAAGGATTATGCCGAAAACATTGTTTATTTAGTACAGAAAATAATGTATCCGCTGAAGCGGACAATTCAATTATAGAAGATACAACAAGAACAATATTGGACAAAAGATATACTAAAAAAACACCTGCTCGACATAAAACTAAACGTAACAAGTAAATAAAATTTCTCTCTCTTTTATTTAATAATTAATTATTTTTATTTATTAAGATCACCTAAACGTGGTGATTTAATGATTGACACTGATGGTAAGGGTCTAAAATATGATGGTCATTCTTGGCGTTATACTTGCACGAATAATAATTGTAAATCTTACCTTGTGAGAAATGGTTTTTGCCAGCGTCATTATTTGGAAATGAAAAAAAAACAATCAGAAAATTCTTCTACCTCAAATAATAATCAACAAGAAATCTCTTCCACTTCAAATAATAATCGACAAGAAAATTCGACAATGAAATCGAAAAGCATACGAACAAAACCATCAGTTGTATTAAAACCAAAAAAAGGAGATATTCAACTTATTCGACAATTATGGAACGGTACAAAATGGTATTCATTATGTCATCATCCTACTCAAAATTGTACAAAACGTTCGACAGGAAAACACCATCGATATCTCTGTGAACAACATTATAAAGAATCTCAAGAAAAACAAAAAAATCCAAATTTAATTGATGATAATGATATTATAATAGAATCAACAGCTAAAAGAAAAAAAAGTATGTAATTACATATTTTATTGAAATATTCTTTAGGGTATTTCCATGGGATCTCAACCACGTGTACAAAAGTTTTCTCAGATTTTCGTGAAACTTTCAGGGTTGATAGAGCATCTGATTCTAAACTTTTTGGTAAAAAACTTTTTTCCAATCCCATTCGTTTTCATGGAGAAAACTTTAAAATACTGTTAAACACCAATGCAAAAAACCAAATTTTCTAAAGTGTGTTCCAAAGGTTTTTGACGATTTTCTCTATGAAAACTAGGTCAAAACTTGATTGTAAGATGACCGTTCGATAGCCCTGGATCAGGCGCATCGACCCATGGTAAAATAAAAAATAAAAAAAAAACTAACACTTGTACCATCAATTATTACATCACCAACTTGAATGTATTATATCTCGAAAAAGCCGAATTGCTCAAGATGGTGGTTTAGCGTGATGGATAGGCCTTCACTTGTACTACAACCCCCCATATTTAGGAACTTCAGCACCCTGGAAACGGCTGAGAATTTTGATCAATTTTACAAAATAGCATATTTATCCCTTTGTCAGATAACTTTTGAAGGGAAAGTTTTATGTTAATTCTATAAATAATAATTTAAAACTTTGAAGAAAATTTAGAGGCTTTCTATGCTTTGCAAAACCCGTTCTCTTATTGAAAAAATCTTAGTTTTTGAGTTCCTTAGCAACGCTGTTACATGATGATTTTTCATATAAAGAAAAATCGAATTTCTTTTTGTATATACTTTCAATATTGGCTGAGTGCTTTACTTGAAATAATCCTAAATCGATAGCTTTCAAATAGCCTTTTTCTTTGAACAACAATTTATTTCAATTTTACACGTTTGCGATGAATTTTGAAACGCTTTGTAACAGTCTTAATTTACTACTGTTACAGTCTAATCATTTTAACTGGTAATTAACTATTCAAATACATGATCGATCAGCTTTTCTCTTTCCAATTAATCATTTATCACTTTTTCTCACGAAGGAATTGCCCGAGATGACACTTCCCGTTGCAACTCATACTTTAGTTATAAGTATACTTCATAGTCTAGGTAAAAATTTCGAAAGGATTTGTCCCCAAACTCTATTGTTGTTGACATATTGTATTTTTAAGATACGGAGAAATCTCATTTCCGTAGTCCACCTCACGGATGTCGAAAAAGCTTATTTTTGAATATCGACTTGAAACTTTGTATAAACGAAGGTTTCAATGAGGGTTGTTTGTGATAATTTCACCTTTTTTCAATGCTCCTAACTAAAAATTAGAGCAATGATGCTATCTTTTGTAAGTGACATTATGCGATGCGTATCATATCTCCGGATAGAAAGAAGCAATAGGTCTAAAACTTCTACAATAAACTACGCTCATTAATAGCTTCGTTCTTATAAAGCTTCAAGTGGAAATTCAAAAATGAGCTTTTTCCATATCCGTGCGGTGGACCACGGAAGTTAGATTCCTTGATATCTTAAAAATACAATATCTCAACAATAACAGAGTTTCAGGATAAATCGTTTTGAGACTTTTATCTACATTGTGAGCTACACCTATGAGTAAAATATGAGCTCAAACTGGATGTATCACGTGGGAGGTTTCTTTGTCAGACTAAAAGCCTAAATTATGTCTTAGAGAACTTTAAAAATATGATTCTAGAATATCATCTGACTTAAGCATATTTGAAAATTCGATTTTACGTTTCACTGAAAGAGTTTGAATCATCAATATATGTGTAATGAATCGATCATTAGTACGTGATATGACTTTTATAAAATAAATTCATTAATTAAATATGTGTCTTATGCATCCTGATATAAAATAAAATATTATTCATAGAATTAACATAAAACTTTCCCTTCAAAAGTTATCTGACAAAGGGATAAATATGCTATTTTGTAAAATTGATCAAAATTCTCAGCCGTTTCCAGGGTGCTGAAGTTCCTAAATATGGGGGGTTGTAGTACAAGTGAAGGCCTATCCATCACGCTAAACCACCATCTTGAGCAATTCGGCTTTTTCGAGATATAATACATTCAAGTTGGTGATGTAATAATTGATGGTACAAGTGTTAGTTTTTTTTTTTATTTTTTATTTTACCATGGGTCGATGCGCCTGATCCAGGGCTATCGAACGGTCATCTTACAATCAAGTTTTGACCTAGTTTTCATAGAGAAAATCGTCAAAAACCTTTGGAACACACTTTAGAAAATTTGGTTTTTTGCATTGGTGTTTAACAGTATTTTAAAGTTTTCTCCATGAAAACGAATGGGATTGGAAAAAAGTTTTTTACCAAAAAGTTTAGAATCAGATGCTCTATCAACCCTGAAAGTTTCACGAAAATCTGAGAAAACTTTTGTACACCATGGTTGAGATCCCATGGAAATACCCTTTAATAATATAAATTATAGTAATTCATGAAGAAAGTTTTCGATCAGACAATAGTATTGATGAACCAAATTCACCAATATTAGTAAGTATTATTTCTAAAAATCTTCATCTATATTTTTTCCTTTGAAAATATTTATTTAGCAACGATCAAAATCAAGTATTGATCAAGTAAAACATACCGAACAATGTATTCAAACTGAAGTAACATATCCACTTGATTCAACTGATCTTCGACAAGGTTGTTTTCTCATTGATGATGATGATGATGATGATGATGATCGAAATCAATCGGAATCATCTCCAGCAGTAGTTTGCATAAAAAAAGAAGTAAAATTTTATTTTCTATAAAATATCTATAAACTTATTTTTATTTTATTCATCAGGATGATATTAGAACTAATAAACGAAATGTTTCCATTAATCTCAATCCAATATCTATTGATTGTAAATTAGAAATACCCAAACTTGAAATTTAGCATCTATTAACTGTGATATATGTACATGCATTTATACTGATATAGCAACCAAAACAAAACAAAAGCTCATTATGTAAATTATTTTACTTTTTATTATTTTAGGTTAATAGTAAATTTAATTAGACATTCCAATTTAGACATTTGCTTTTCTTTTTTTTTTAAAAAATATTTTAACAATTTTTTTAACGTAGTTTATTTATATATATAAATATTTTGTATATTTGTTTTTTTTGTTTCATAAGTTGTGAAAAGAATACTCAAAATAAAAGAAAATCATCTCATGGGAAAAAAATTGTATTCGTTTGTAATTTCATCGTTTATGAATGTCAAGTCAAAATTGATTACTATATTAATAGATCATTGCTATTTGTTTTGTTCACATTGATAAATATACGTAAATCCGTAATATCTTTTTGATAAAAAAATATCAACATGAATACTTTCTTCTTCAATCAAGGCATAGCCAGAAGGAATGTAAGAACATTTTTTTCACCCCGATTGCACAAAAAACAACAACAAACTAAGGTACGAGTAAAAGAAAAATTATTTTCCGTTGGTGTATACTTCCGTTCACAAATCGGAAACATTTTTTAATTTCAATTATAAACACGCTATTTGTATGCTTTAAAAAATGAATTCTAAATCAAGAAAACATGATGATTATTTCTCAATTTTTTTCTGCTAATTTCAGTAAAATAAAAAAAAGCATAGATTAATTTATTATTTCCTTCTAAAAAGCCAAAACAAAAAAAAAAGAAAAGAGTCGTCAAGCAGGCAAGCGCAGATAAATACACGTTACGAACAACATTAATAGAAATATTATGTCACTTATTCATTTTATTTTGTTCTTTGTCTTTTTATCTAGCCATAGAGATTCGGGGGAAATTAATTATTCTTCAAGTTTGGGACATTCTGGGTGAATGAAATTTCTTGGATGAATCATGCCATTTTGTCGAATAACCCATTCATTAGCTAAATAATCGATAACTTGCTTCATATGTTGTTCCTTAATATCTCCATCAAGTTCAGCTAAATATCGATAGTATTTTTTCCATTGCTCAAATGGTATACGAGCATTAGCACCTGGTGGATCACTTGTTAGTAATTCGCAGATTTTAGTTAATGTATCAGTTATATTCTAAAGTAATTAAAAATAAATAGAATAAAATTATGAATTCATATAAAATATTACTTTAGCTAATTTTGATACAGCAATAGCAAGAAACGAATCCCATTGTACTTCTCCATTGAATGCACCAATTTGTACAATATCATCAAATTGTTCACGTGGAATTTTTAAATCATCACATTTATTTTGAATTTCTTGTAATGATAATTTACCTTTAGGTGAAAGCTATAAAAAAATGTATTAAGATTCTATCCACCCAATAAATATTTCTCAATAAAATGAAATTATGTTAATCATTTCATATACTGCCTGTTTTTTACTTACTTGTTTATGTAATATTTTTAATATACCCATTGAAAGACCTGTATCAATTTTTTGTGTAGCTAATGGCATTTCAAGACCTAATTAAAAAATGTTGTTCATAGTTTTTTCTCTATTAATTATTAATTAAGTATATCCTTACGTTCTTTGACCGGTGGTGTTTCACCATTTGCTAATGCTCGAAAATATCTATAGTTATATACAATAAAAAAATATTATATGCAAAAAAAAAAATTAAAACATACGCAGCACTCCAAGCAAGTACATCAGTTGGTTGTGTACGGATAGCAGCTTTAGAAAATTGAAGAAGAATATCAGGCAATTCAGGTGGAATAGGTATTTGTTCGCTTGTATAATAGGGTTCATCAGTGTAATTCGTTGCTGTTGCTGTTCCTGTTGCTGTCGACATGATTTTATTGAGTCTATCAGAATGAAAAATGAATAGGGGTTAATAAGCTGTAAACATGTCAACACATTTCTGCCATTGATAACCACTCATCCTTAACACTCGCTCCTCATTTAATTATAGAATAGAAAAGATTTTTCATATTTTTTAATAAATATTTTTATTTAATTTTCTATTTTATTAGGAATAAACAATTTTTTATAATCTATTTAGCTAATTTTATAAGGAATAGAAAGTAGCGCACAATGATTTTATTCGTCAATATATTCGTCAGGCTCGAAACAAAGAATTCAACATAATATCATCGTTTATCATTTATTATATAATTTTCAATGTCGGCAATTAAACGATTCTTTTCAAGTCATAAAACATCATCAAATTCAAAGGTTAACAATAATAACCAACAACAACAAGATGCACAAAATAAATCTTCGAATAATACTACTGTTACTGTTGAAAAAGTTGTAATAAATACTGAAGTAATTGATCATGAAGAAAGTAAAGAAAATATGGCTTCACCACCATTTCCATCAACAGAAATATCATTAAAGTATATTAATCAAACAAAATATTTTTTCTATGAAGTAAAACTTCTTTTGATTGTTTATTAAGATCCGATATTACTCCATCACCAACAACACCACCGCCGTCATCATCATCATCAGATATATTACTAACAATTAATAATGAAGAGAAAAAAATACCGTATGTATATATTAACTATTTGTGAAATAACAGAGAATTATAGTAGGCCTCAAACTTTTGTCAACACTTTCTCTACAATATTTTATAAATGATTTATATACTGATGAGAGATAGCATAGCCTAGTTGATACTTTTATAATGATAAACACTTAAAGATACAGAGAGATGTCAACGTCTAATTAAATAATTGGGTTGATAGTTTCTACTTAGAAAAGCAAATCATAGCACGAAGCTTAGTGTCATCAAGTATAATTCTTTAATAGATAAAAATCAGATTTAATCATATTAATATTATTTCTCATAGAAAATCGTCAAGTTGGACAGTTGAAGATTTTGAAATTGGTAATTTATTGGGGCGTGGTCGATTTGGTTATGTTTATTGTGGTCGAGAAAAACAAACACGATTTGTTGTAGCACTTAAAGTAAGAAATATAAGCTAATATCTTTGATATTCACAATCAAATTCTTTTAGATATTATTTAAAGCACAATTGAAAAATTCTAAAATGGAACAACAAGTAAAACGTGAAATAGAAATTCAATCGAATCTTAAGTATGTTCAAGTTTTTTGTTCTTCTTAACTTTATTATTAACGAATAGATCGATTATAGACATCCAAATATTCTCCGTCTTTATGGATTTTTTCATGATGAACAACGAATTTATTTATTACTTGAATATGCACCTGGTGGAGAATTATATCGACGTATGCAAACTGAAAAAGTTCTTCGTGAAAGTGAAGCTGCTGGTGTAAGAATAATTATTTATTTCAATCTTTTACAAAATTCAAATTAACTTTTTCAGTATGTCTATCAACTTTGTAATGCTTTAAATTATTTACATACAAAACGAGTCATTCATCGGTATGAATATATGATTTTTAAAAGAAATATTTTAATTTTGTTTCTATTTTTCGATTTAGAGGTATGCTTGAATAATTAAATAGATATCAGAAATATGTATAAGTTCAATTATTGTAGATATCAAACCAGAAAATATTCTAATTGGAAAATATGGTATTTTAAAATTAGGTAGGTGTTTAAATTATAAATTATCATTAAAATAAGTTTTTTTTTCAGCGGATTTTGGTTGGTCAGCAGAAAGTACGTCAACATGCAAGTAATATTATTTGATTAGATTTGTTTCTTGAGAGAAAAAAATGAATATATATTTATTTTTTAAGACGAACTACTCTTTGTGGTACATTAGATTATTTACCACCAGAAATGCTTAATGGAAATGGTTATGATGAAAAAATAGATCTTTGGTGTCTTGGTGTTCTTACTTATGAAATGGTAATTATAAAACTATCTACGAATGGGTTATTATTTATTTGTTTTTTTATAGATAATTGGTAAACCACCATTTGATAGTCAAACTCAACATGAAACAATTCGAATGATACGATCAATTGAATTAACATTTCCAACAGGAACATCAACTGATCTTCGTGATTTAATTACAAAAGTAAAAAATTATAATTATTCTTTTATATTAAGCAAAATATTGATTTGATTATTTTTAGTTACTTCGTCGAAATCCAGCTGATCGTTTACCTTTGAAAGATGTTGCACAACATGTTTGGATAACAAAAAATGCAGATATAGCTGCTATTGAAGATAGCTATGTTAAACGAAAGAAAACATTGAATAGAGAAAATTAAATTTCTATACTCTATTACAAAACAAAAAAAAAACTATTTTGGACATTCTGTTTTATGTAACTTTGCATAAATGTTAATTAATTCGGTGATTTTTTTCTATGTGATATATATGTGTGTTAAACAGTTATTATGTTATTAAATTCAGCTATTCTAGATAATAAAATTAAATCATTACTCTAAGCAATCATTATCCGAGTCTTTTCATTTACGATGTTTATATGATAAATTGCAGTTTTTTCTATGGAATTCTTTCTAGATTTATTATCAGAAAACATGAGAATCTTTCACTTTATTACAAAATAAACAGTTTCTTTTACTTCTGATATAATGATATGTCATACATCATTTTTTTCCTTACTTGTCTAAAAATTTATGAGAACGAGTCACACGAACTTTCGATATAGTAAAAATATCCTTAATTTTATCTTTTTATTCAAGTATTTTCTAATTGAATAGAAAATAATCTATTAATTCAATTTTACTTTAGAGATTATCATATATATTTTCGTTAAAGAAGATTATACGTCAAAACAAAGCAATTGTAATAAATTTATATTTGATATATCGATCGAGCAATTTTATCATCAATGATGAATGAGTTTTTTAAGGTTGATGACATTTAGTTATTTATCATAAACTGACATAATCGAAAAGAAATTGTCAAGAGATTTGCTAGAAAACGTATTATTTAGTATGCTTATCAAGTTTATTAACCATTAGTAAATGAATATTTCTCTTTTCCTATGTTTTAATTAATCATTGAAATATTTTCTTGATTTCTAGGCATTTGAATTTTAGTTAAATTTTTTCGAATAATATCATATGTTTTTAAAAAAATAGTTCGTAATTCTAATAGAATTGAACGTATATCATCGAAAATTTTTCGTTCATATTCAATTAAATATAAATGATAATCTTCAATAAATGGATATTTATTTAAATATTTTAATATTTCATAATGTTTTTTATAATAATCAAAAAATAAATTTTCATTTGCTTCAATAATTGTTTCCATTTCTTGAATTTCTTTTAAAATTTGTTTTTGAATATTAACACCTTGATTATTACCTGATTCATTTGATGGTACATGTAATTGTATATAACATCGAAGATGAATTGATGATAATAAATATTTTTCGAAATAAAATTCAATTATTTTTATTAATTCATTTAGAAATTTATTTGACGATGAATTTGAGATATTTTTTTCAATTTCTTTAAAATAATCTTTTGAAAAACGTTCATCATTATAAATAAGTTCATTTAATTGTTTAGCATATGTTAATAAATTAAATAAAACATCAGATTCAACATTAGTTTTTATGGATTGTTCAAGTGATTCAGTATTTAGAACTAGAAAACTATCGCCTGTCATATTTGATAATTCTATTGATGAATGAGATACTAATGATGTTGATTGTTTTTGACGAACTTTTTTTACTGTCGAACGCATTATATTTATAGAAATTAGTTTGAAAATTATATAGATATAGATATATATATTAGTTTATGAAACGCGCTATAAAATTCAATGACATAAATACAGACAGATGGTTTTCTTTTTTTGTTTATATTATATTGACGACATAAAGATTATTTATATATATATATATATATAGGGTAAAAGGCCGTAAGAATAACGAGCAACGAGAAGATGACTGATATCCAATAGAAAGAAAAGAGAATATCTGTAATAGAAACGGAACTAGAGTATAGTATATGAAAAAAGTATTCTTTTTTTTCTTCTTCTTTGCTTCTTGCCTTGCCTATCTACTATTACTATCATTGTTATTCTTTCATTGTGTTGACTTTGTTATTATTCTAAATAAATTCTCGTTCGGATTGATCATATAGCAATAGAAAGGAAGCAAGCGATAGATCGACAAAACAGAGAAAAAGATAGGGGAAAGAAGAAAGAGTAATCCTTCTCTTCCTCCCTCTCTCTCTCTCTCTCGCTTGCTTCTTTATCCTTCTATTGATGCCACTGTTTCTAATGGAACTATCACTAGACATACATACACAATTGGATAGGGTCATCGCATAGTATTAACGTAACACATCAAATGTGTTACGAATTATAATGCAAATATAAAGAGATTTTAACATTATTAACTTGTACGTTTATTTACTTGATTTATTCTCTATTATCATCAATATATATATATACGTATCTCATTAATAATGTCTGATCATGATTGCACTGGCGAGATATCCTGTTGTTCTATTGCATCAACATCAACAAGTCAATATTCCTTTTGGCTCTATAGGTAAAATAAACAAAAATAAATTCTCAAGAGAAACATTAATAGTTTTTTTATCATATCTATTATTATTTTAGAGATGAAAAAATCGAATCACTTAATCTATTTATACGTCCAATGATATCTCGTGATATCTATGATATTCGAGCTTTCTTTACTGATTGTACACTATTTCATAGTGCAGCAATTGATTTTTCAATGTATTACTATGCATTTCGACCTAAACATTCATATGTAATTATATCTAAACATGGTCTTTTAGCTCATGCATCTATAAATCAATGGAATTTTAATAATAATTCTACTCCATCAATATTAATGCTTGGTCTAGTTTATGTTCGTCCGGATTATAGGAAATTTGGTATTGGTGAATTAATAACAAATTATGTTTTAAATCTTAAATCCGATGAAACAAAAATTATTCATGCAAATATTTTAACAAAACATTTACCATTTTATATTCGTTATGGTTTTCAAGCATCATTTTCTTTAGTTAATCTTACTGGTAAACTTAGTGAATTTTTTCATATAGCAAATCTTGATGAAAATGATATTCATTTACAATTGTTTGAATCTTCTGATATACTTGATGTTGCTACATATGATCATCAAATTTATCCAACATATCGAATAAATTATTTTGAACAATTACGTGAACATACATATTCTATAGCGGGTTATGTTGCACGTTCGATAAAAACAAATTCTATATTAGGTTATATTATTTTAAATTTTAGTCAAGCATTTATTAAATGTGGACCATTGTATGCTGATAATTTAAATATAGCTTTTTTATTACTAAGACAATGTGCTATTGATTATGATGGTATGATGTTAGTATCAATACCTGAAGATAATCGAATTGCAATTAAAATGTTTGAATCAAAATATTTTAAACAAACTGATATTCTTCATCGTGTTCATACGGGAAATGTAAATTTATTTCATGGAAAAAGTTTTGAACGTATTTGGGCTATAACAGATGATTGGCTTTCGTTAATTTAAATATTAATATGTGTGAATTTGATCCTGAGGTGCTCGATTATTGTTTTTTTTCTATTTTGTCAAAGTGTGATATGAATCATTTTTTTTTTCGAAAATATTAAACTGAATATTGAGTACGAAATATTTGTACTCAACATTATTATTAATCCATAGATAGAGCTCGAATAAATGAAGAAAAGTAAAAAAAAGACACATGTTTACTATCAATGTGTTAAGGAAAGAAAAATTTTGTGTTCTTCTATTCAAAAGATACATAAATCATATATTCTTTTTCTTCGCTCTCTTCGTATTCTCTCATCCGGATCGATTAATATTGTGTTTATTTTCAAAATGACGGCTGCGCCAAATCAAATCCAAGTAACGATAACACGCAAATCGGATGATAAATCCGTTATTTTACTTGTTAATGAGAAGATAACAGTAAAAGAATTAAAAACGGAAATTCGAGAAAAACTACCACCGCAATTTGATGAAGGTTGTCGACTTATTTATCAAGGTAAAGTACTTAGAAGCAAACGAACACTTAAACGTTATGGTTTAACAAAAAATCAAGCACCACCACACGTCCTTGGTAATTCAAATATACTTATGGATGACACTAAAAATTGGAAATCGGACTCATCATCTTCATCTTCAGAACAATCTGAGTGACATTTTCTTTTTAATATAATCTTATTAAATGACTTCGGAAAAAAAGAAAAACATCAATTAGAGATTATAAAATTATATACCCAACAAATATTACTTTATAATGTCATTTTATCTGAATACATATACTAACAATTGTTATTAACTTTTTTTCTTATACAGAATTTTATTGTAAAGAATATATATCTGATGAATAAACATAACTTTCCACCATCACTGTCTCTATCGATCTGCTAACTGGTTTGATCTTTAGCCTCAATTTGGAAGCTACAAAATTAGTTTTATAAAAATACTTGTTAATTGTGTCTATTAAACCGTTTTTCATGGACGTTATTATTATGTAATCATTACGTGCAATTATTCATGCTGAATAGAAAATAGTCTAGACAATTACTACTAAATACATGACATCGCTCAGAGGAATTTTTTTTTGTTATCTAATAATCAGGATTTGTTAAAATCTATTATCAATGAAGACTCAAAAGTAGTTCTTTATCATGAAACGTGTGAATCAAAGCATTTATGTAGTCCTGAGCGAATTTTCTTACTTTCTTGATGCACACATAAAAGGTTTTTATTTTGAACCGCGATAGTCTTGCCTGTGGACATTACTTTTTTTTGCGTTTCGAGATATTTAAAATGACAAAATATTATTCAAAGATACAGTCTAAATAATAAAAAACAGAATTTGTCTAATTTTAGTCAGAAAAATTGATTCAATAATAATTGAAGATTGTTCAGAAAGAGAAGTAAAATTATTCAAACACAGGTAACCTAATCTGAACAATCAATCTGTATAGAATAATTTAAAAAAATTATTATACTATATAAAAACTGTATTACTAACGAATTACTTCAATCCTTCGTCTCTATCGCAGATTAATCTTCTTATTCGTTTATTTGATATTAATATAATTAGTTCCGTTTATGAATAGGATGTGAGTGTAGGTATTCTATTTATCCTTTACACCTACATCCAACTAATTTCAGAAACACAGCGATGAAGTTCGTCAATTGGCAAGCCGTGTCCGTCTGTTGATATCGGTGCACGGCTAGTGGATTTCTTCCCACAAAGTTTCATATCTGATAAGACACACCCACTCAGGGAGACCTTTATCGTGAATATTATGATAAACAAATGACGCGTTTCACTTTATAATAGTTACCCTTTCTGAGAAAATTTTGTCTTCTTCATCTACAACGACATAGAGTTGTTATATTTACACAACTTTACGTGGTCATGAATGTAATAATTATTAGATAAAAACATAAAATTTATCACAACTATATAAAGGAGTAGTATTAAATGAAAGATACGCGATTTTTGTGAAGATGGAGCGACAGCAGTATTCACATCAGCCTTATGCACATCAGCCCTACGCTCAATATAATGCACCTTATCCATTGGTACCACCACGAGCACGAACGGTAAACGACATTCTTCCTGCTTCTATTCCTGGTGTATTGGGTGGATTACAGGTGGTACTCTGGCTTGCTATAATAGGCCTTGAAGCAGGAGGTCTATGGTACGATGCATGGCGCGGTACTGCCTATGCAGGGTTCTGGTGTGCTGTTATATACTTTGACACCTGGATATCAATGTTCTGCTACCGTAAGTGTTTCTTAATTTAACTTAAAGTACATATTTCATTTCTGTTTCATATATTAGTATGTTGTGGTAAATCGAAGGGATGTGCAATCTATCTTCTTGTTCAAAATATAATCAATATGATTTTTTCTATCGTACTGATGGTGATTACTGCTGGTTTCGTCAACAATCCTTGTTCGTGTTTCTCAAGTGCTCTCTGTATAACAATTAATTGGATCGACGTGACTAGTGGCATTCTCGGTGTTTTTGGACTTGGATGCAGAGCGAAGTTACCAATACTTAAGGGTCTTCTTGCCTGTTCTATATTAATGTTTCTCTCAAGCATTGCCTACATCATTGCATATATTGCTATCAGTATTTGGCTGTGCATGAAAGCAAGATCAAACATTGTACACGTAGAAGCAGCTTACCAAAATAATGTAGACTCGGTCAGAATAAGACAACAACAACCGGACAGTCTAACCCGTGGTTATGAATATACAGGTCGACCAGAAAATCATGGTCCTAGGTCGAATCTTGATCATCATTTGTCACCATCGAAATCGGCACCTCGTCTGGAACAAGATCCATATGATGAGGTACACAAGACACATATTTAACATACAACTTTTCGAACTGAAACATATAGTTGAATCAAGAAATATTATTTTTTTATAATTCGTATAATACTATATTCATAAATAAAAGCATAAAAAACATTTCACCTCTAAAGTTTATGTGTATTTAGAAACGGTCAATGACCGGATCGGAAACTTTTACTATGAGCTACCTGGACATATTTGTGGGTGTGCGTGTGCGATCAGTATGACTCTTTTTTACTCTCGGCCTACACCCACACCAGACGAACTTCAGGAGCACAACGTTGAAGTTCTTCAACCGGCAAGCCGCGTTCTTGTGTCGAGATCGGTGCACCGTTAGTGGGTTTCTTCTTACAAAGTTTCATAACTGATAAGGCATACCCATTCAGGGAGACCTTTATAGTGAGTATTATGGTAAAAAAATGTCTGGTTTTAATTTACAATAGTTACCTTTTCTAAGAATTTTGTCTTCTTCATCTCCAAGGACATAGAGTTGTTATTATTACACAACTTTACGTGCCCATGATTGTAAGAATTATTAGATAAGAACACAAAATTTATCGTAACTGGAGATATTACTTTATCTTTATTTTACTTTATAAAAAGAATAAAGATAATCTTTATACTTATAAAAATAGGCATAAAATTTTTTTTTATTTTCTTAGAGTAACTCACAAAAAATTATGATATTATATAGTTAACTACAAAATATGGAACAGCATTTTTCGTAAATATCGTTTCTTGTGTGATCCTTTTTGATGATAAAAAGGAGCACTTATAAATTTATTCTGTTGTTCTATAGGATATTTGCAAATAAAGATTATCTTTATCTTTATTTTATAAATACACAGATTATCTTTATCTTGAGTTTATAAAGCTAAAGATTTACTTTATTTCTTTATCTTCATTTTTAAAATAAGGATTATCTTTATCTTTATTTATAGAGTAAAGATAAAATAACATTCCTAATCACTACTATATAAAACAGTAATATTAAATGAAAGATACCTGAATTCTTTGTTGAGATGGAGCGACAGCAGTATCCAAACCAGCCTTATGCACACGAGTCATACGAACAGAGATCGTATCCACAGAGGCCGATTACACAGCAAACGTATGTACATCAGCCCTACGCTCAACATAGTGCGCCTTATCCAGTGGTACCACCACGAGCACGATCGGTAAACGACATTCTTCCTTCTGCTGTTCCTGCTGTATTGGGTGGATTACAAGTTGTACTCTGGCTTGCTATAATAGGTCTTGAAGCAGGAGGTCTATCGTACGATCCATGGCGCGGTACTGCCTATGCAGGGTTCTGGTGTGCTGTTATATACTTTGACACCTGGATATCGATGTTCAGCTACTGTGAGTGTTTCTTCATTTAATTTAAAGTACATATTTCATTTCTGTTTCATGTATTAGTATGTTGTGGAAAGTCGAAGGGATGTGCAATCTATCTTCTTGTTCAAAATATAATCAATAT